CAAGAAGTACTATTCTAGTTATTTTTCTTCCTAAATGTTTTAGATGTTTCATTTTTTGTTAGTCATTGATCAGTTTTAATGTTTCATTCATATTTCAAGGTAAGGATTCAAGTTTATAATTTTTAATGAGTATACACAGCTTACCAAACAACATTTATGTCAAAGACTTCTCTGTTCCAATTTAATTTGCTTGGAATTTTGGCCAATTTACTGATCATGTACCATGTGTCTTTCTGAGCTATTTGTGTTACTCTATAGGCATATTGTTTGTTTTTGTACCAATGCCTCTCAGTTTCCATTGCTATAGTTTTCTAGTAAGCTTTAAATATGAAACTGCCAACATTGGTCTTTTCTATTGAGAGTTATTTTGGTTTTGGAATAACATGTTTTTGCATGAATTTTTTATTTTTTCTATTTTTCAGAAATGTCATTAGTTTTTGAATTTTTAAATGGAGAGTACCAGAACTGTAAGATATTAAAGCTTTAAATACATAAACAGGAGATGATGCCCTTTTATTGATATATGTACTCTTTATACACATAAATAGGAGATGACTTTTAATTGACATATTTCTCTTTAAATACAGAAACAGGAGATGCTTTTTTATTGACATATGTACTCCTTAACCAAAGCCAGCAGTGATTTGGACTTTTTCCTACAGCACTATTCATTTCTTTGCATTTTTACCTGCACAGTATATTCTATTTACACTATGAAAGAATTATTTTCTTTTTCTGAGTTTTAAGAATTTATTGAAACAATTACTTCTCTTCTAGTCTAAAACACAGAAATAATAAGTATACAAATGAATTTTCTCAATGTAAATACGCAAATAGAAACTACACAAGGAAAAAAGCATCAGGACCCCAAAAGCCCCCACTGTACTCCCTTCCAGCAACTGAATCCCTTTCGAAGCATGGCTGCATTATTCTTTCCTGACTTCATAGAATTTGCTTTCTTTGTTTCTTGGTTATGTTCAATATTTTGTTTCATTCACTCCTTTCCAGGTTGTTCATTAAAATTATAGAAATGCACCTGTATTTTTCATAAGGAATGTGTGTATGTGTATCTTCATATACTGCTTGGGTTGGTTTATTAGGTCCTGTAATTATGTCTCATGTGAATGCAGACATGTATCTATTTGGAATATTTAGTCTTTCTACACATAAAGTCATATTGTCTGTGCAATGGTATGTCTAATTTTAATTTTTTTCTTTTTACATAACTTCCATTAGCCTATATTAACTGAACAAAACAGTGTCATTAGGAAATTTTCATGCATATTTATAATGTACTTTGAGCATAATCACCAACCAGTATCCTTTTCTCTTTCCCTCTTGGCCAATGGGCCTCCGCATCTTTTTGAGTGATCTTCGGTTATTTTCATGTTCTAGATCAAGAGTCTGTATTTGACAACCAACATTTAATATTTGTCTTTCTGAGTCTGACTTATTTAACATAACATGATTCTCAGTATGAATCTTAAGTTTTTCTTTTACTTATTGGTCTGTCAAGAATTTTCAACAAAACCATGAAGAAAAACGGAGAAAACAAAGATCTGCAGAGACTGTGGATTTGGGGGAAGGTTTCAATGTTTTTCATTTGGGATAATATTTGATGCTTGCTCTAAGTAAGTAATTTATCTCACTGAAAAAATTTCATCTATTTACATTCTTAATGTTTTTGTTTTTATTATGAAAAGAGGTGGGATTCCATCAAATTCTCTTTTTGCATCAATTGGGTCATATTATTTTCTCTTTATGTTGTTAATGTATATTGCATTGATTGATTTTTGGATGTAATATTATGATTGTATTAAAGGACTGCATTCAAATAGACATGACAT